CCCAGCGGAGAAGGGAGACCTTTTTGTCGGGGGAGGAGCACTCCAAGCCAAGAGAAAGTGAAGTCAGCACTTCAAGGGCCAGGGCCCTTCAGGGTGTGTGCAGGATGAATAGGAGCTCTTAGGGACCAGTTTAGAGGGGGTAGCAAGCTGTGTAGGTCCTTGTGGGGTTCTCAAAGGACCGTGAGTGATAGAACACTACCCCTCGTCTCTGTGGATGGAGCTGTGTGCCCTGTACCACTTTCTCCACTGCCCACGTTTCCTTTAAATCAGCACTGAGTGTTTATGTCATTATCAAGTTTCTGCATCATCAGGCAGTCTATTATGATAATGCTCCTTTAATTGCTCATAAATGTTTTGTTAATAATTGCCTCATTCTCTTCACCTGATTGATTTTCTGTGTTGTTATTTGTAATTTTTCTGAACTCTTCCGCAGAACTGGAACATTCTTCTACATATAGTTTTCCATGTGACCGAATGCCACCCCCCCAGCATCCCCAGTGTCTGCTTTCTCATCTCCCTGCAGAGCTGTCTGTCTGTCCTCCCGCACCATCTTGCCGGCTTTGCCCTAGCACAACTGTGTCCTGGGAATTCATTTCCCTTCTCTCCTCTGGGGGCTTTCTGTTTCCTTGAACTGTGTATTTCCCTCTTTCATAACATTTCTTTTTTGAGCAGGCAAAATCATCTCGCTGGCCTCTACGAGAGTAAAGAGAAAGTCTGGTTTGAGCTCAAGCCTCCCTTATAATTGAGTAGCTATAGAATTCCATGCTGGTGATCGTATTACAGTAGAATTTTGGAGACATTGCTTCTCTCCTAAGTCCCAGTCTTGCTGTGAGAAGCCAGTGCTTTCCTGATTCTTTGTATGTAACCCTTTCCCGCTCTGGAAGGATGAGGTTTTCCTGTCCTGCTGCTTGCATGCAGAGGTCTGTGTCTGGTGGGGAGGCGGCGGGCTCAGGGTTGCCAGCTTAGTAGAGAGGCTCTTTCAATTTGAACTTCAGATAAACCACAAGTGAGGTTGTTGATGTTTGGGCCACACTTACACTGAAAGACTACTTCCTATTTATCAGAAATTCAAATTTACTTAGGTTTCTGCTTGTTATTTTTTGTTGTTCTTGTGTGTTTTTGTTCAACTTGACAAATTTAGAAGCTGGAGTTTTCAACTTGCAGATCTGAGTCTTCCACTTTGGGGAAATTTTCACATATGATTTCTTTTCCTCTAAATTACTGTATTAGTTTAAATTTTAAAAGAACATATTTCAATAAGGCTTACAAGCAACAATCCTACCCTGCTTTCGTCTTCCCATCTTGATTTCTCCAGAAGTCCCTCTTTACTGTTTCATCTGCACTGGCCACTGTAACTTTCGATAACATACTTACATTTTTAAAAATTTTTCAAGGCTTAAAAAAGTTGACTTGCACTGTGGAAAATAAGAATTTAGCTTTTTTCACGCCACGCATCCTGCTTTCCACAGTATAGACAAGCATCCCATCACAGAGGCCTACTTACCCCACTAGATTGTAAATATCATGGTATTTATTAGCTCAGTATTTAGTTCCACTTTATTATGATTGGTAAAATATTGTTCCTCATTGAGCCACTGAGTGTACTGTGGCTATAATTATCTTTAATTTCCTGTACAGCTTTTTATTTGCCTCTGGATAGGCTAGAAACCTCCCTTTGTGTTGCTTTCCCCATGTCTGTCCCTACTCAAGCCCTGGAAGGACAGTGTAGTTGGGTGAGGTTCCTAGCAGCAGTGTGAATGTCCCCTACCACATGCAGACGCACCAGGCTAGCTGTCACCCCCATCCTCTCTTCCTGGGGACCCAGCGTCTGCTTGTGTCATGTAGCCTAAGCCCCATGGCAGGACTTCTGGCCCAAGACAGCCTCTTATTACCCCAGCTTTCCCTCCCTGCTCTGCTAAGAAACTACCTGCATGGATGAGTGTAGCATTTTAGGGTGATAATCCTTTTACTATCTTCCAGCTGCTAGTGATGCTTTTTGTAAGATTCAGTGCCATCAAGCCTAATTCTGAAATGTCACAGTGCGGTATAGGTCTCGTTTTAGTGTGGAAATGCATATTTTTGAATTCTTAAACATTTTTGTTATTTCTTTAAAAGTTTTCCATGCTTTTTGTCTATTTTCTTTTTTAGAACCATATTAATCAGACTGAATCTTCTAAGCTGGTTCTCAAGCATCCTATTTTTTTCTCTTTTCCAGTCCATTTTTTTCATGTTTTCTGGAAGATTTCCTCCATGTCATCCTCTACTGACATTTTTGTTTTAGCGATCATTTGTAATCTCCAAGAATTTCCTTTCTCTTCTATGAAAGTTCCTTTTTTATGGCAACCTGTTCTTCTTTCATTGATAGTCTTTCATTTATTAGAAGGTTTTTGATGTATTTAAAAGTATTCTGTTTCTGGAATTTCCCATTTCCTGTGAGTTTCTGTCTTCTGTTTTGACCTGACGAGGCTTTCCGGAGGTGTTTATATTATGAGCATAGTTGCTTATGTTCGAGAGTGAGGCACTCAGGAGCGGATGGGAAGCTCTGTGCCCGGGGGCCTTGCTGACTGATGAGCTCCTGCCGGGTGATGAAGCTGGGGTCTTCAGAGCTCAGTGCTCCACTTTCCCTTGGAACCCCTTGGTTTCTCTGGGGGAAGCAGTTCCCAGTTGCCTGCCTGATAGTATCCTGGGAGCAGAGCAGAGAAGGTGGCGACTGTCTTATCACTGACATGTAGGCTTCCACACAGCTTTTCACCTCCTATTTCCAGTGGGTCACCCCTGCCTGACGTGGTGCCAGCTCTTCCTGAGTCTGTAAACTTCCCGTGTTTGGCAGTGGTGGATGGGTAGCTGTGTGGCACTTCGCGGTTCTGCAGGACACTTAGAAGGGCAGTGGCTCACTGCACCAGCAGTGTTTAGTCCTGTTCCCAACCTTCCTGCTACTGTACTCAACAGCCCAACTCCAGAGCTTCTGTAGCTTTCCTGGGCAAATCAACAGGCACCGCAGTGCCATCTGCCACACTCGGGCTTTAAACCTCCCCCCCTCCCGTGTCCAGCACTGCCCCAGTGGCTTTCTATTATCTCCAAATTGGCTTTTCACTATTTTAATCTCTCTCTTGTCCTCATAACTTTGCTTGCACTTCTTTCTGTCAAAATTTGTTATTATTACTTTAATAAGGTTTCAGAAAAGAGCTCCCAAAATTTGTCTTTCAACATTTTCCTCTCTAAGTCAGATGGACATACCCAGGATACTTGCCTTGGGGTGAAGTGAAAATTATGGTGAATTTCTAACACATGGACATGTTTTTTGAAAATGTGTCATGGCTGGGCCATTGAGCAGCTTGGGCATCAAGCTCATAATGCATGGTTTATGTTTGCATGAGAATGGAGTCTTATGCAGACCCGTGCATTCGGGAGCTGTGTTCTCAAACTGTGTCAAACTCCTCATTTGCAAATGCGGAGCTGCTCATTTAGTCTTCTCCTCAGTCCTGTGCGTGGAAGGGTAATGAGTTTTCTGTTTATTTCTCTTTGAAGCATCACTCCCAATCTGATATATATATATTTTTAACCATTTTCCAAAGTGTTATCTTTCACTTTATGACTACTGGAATTTCACAAAGAAACAAAAGTTTTTAGTTGTTTGGTTTTGTTTTAAACAAAAATGAATAAGAATGATGATACAGAATTTCAAAATAAATAATAGGAGATTAACACTGGTTAATATATTGCGTATTGTTATCTAAAGTAAAAACTCTTTGCAGAAGTTATTACCCACGGATGCAGCCAGTGGGAAGCAACTGGGTGGTGGCCTCGTGCCTTGAGTGCTAGGTGATCAGTGAGGCTGATGACAAGGCAGACTGCTACCCCGGCACCCGGGCTCACATGGGGCTTTGCGTTAAGTTAATTCTTTAGTCAGATTGCAGTTTACACCAGCTTTTGGACCTTTGGGCTTGTTCCTAAATGAAATTAAGTCTTTTTTTTTATTTTATCAAGCATGGGTCTACTGCCCAGGCCTGACACTATCAGCAGGAATATTTCCTAATCTTCATAGCTCCAAAGTAGCTTCAAGAGCACCTGTCTCTTGGGGTTCAAGCTTGTAGTATACTTTGTCATTGTCATCCTTTTCTCATATGCAGAAACAGAAGTGGCAGGGACAGTCAATTTGGGTGTATTTAGAGGAAGGCTGGCTTGCCGTTCCAATACTCTCTGGAGGTCAGGGGACACGTGCATCCTGTCAAATGCATTGAGGATGATCATGAGGAGTTGAACTGCATGGTCCAGGCAGAGTAGAACCCATGGCACTGAGTTGCAAATCTCATCTACTTTCCTGTAGAAAGCAACTATATGCAGGCCATGAAGCTATAAGCCCAGCAGGAAGTCAGAGGAGAGGGGCCAGAGAGAGAGAGAGAGAGAGAGAGAGAGAGAGAGAGAGGATCAAGAAGGCTCAGGAAGGCTGCAGGACTCCGCTGGGCTTCCAGGATATGATGTAGGAATGTGCGAGGGAGAAAGACAGCATTATGGCAGGCGCAGTGAACAAGAAGCCAGGATGCCTGGCGGAGGGAGGAGTGTACCTGGCATCGTTGTAAGTATATGAGGTTGAGGGAAATGGTGGCTTAGGGGACCTTGGCAGGGGCTGGAGAACATGGATGGACACTTGGCTGGAAGTTGTGTGGCACAGAGCCTAAAAGGCAAATTGCTTGGATTTGATTCTTGGGGACCAGGGGACCATTACAGGTGGAGAATTAAGGCCAACAATATGTAAGACTTAAGCAGGCACAGCTTCAGACTGCATATGCTAATCAGGTGCCAGTGAGCTGCTGGGGTCTGAGTGGGTGGTCGAAGGATTGGTTTGAGAAAATCAGGGACAGGGCTGAGGACTGGGTGGAGCTCACCACACAAATGCCAGAAGAGCTGGGGAAAGAAACCAGAGCTCCCCTAGTGTTATGCCAGCGTGTTTCACCATTGTGTCGCTGACTCTTTTTCCTCTTGTTCTCATCCCCTGACAGGGACAGTGGTGTCTCAGTGACCCAAGCGGGGAGACCTGTACAGGCGTGTCCCACAGGAGTAGGACAGAGAAGGCTGGAGCCTTTCCTGTCACTGGAAGATGGGCCTCTCCTTGCGTGACTACACCTGACGCCTCCCTCAAGAAGCAATCGGGATGGAAAGGACAGAGCCCGGAGCCCCTGGAACTCAAGATGGGCAGGATGCTGGCGAGAAGCTGCAGGAGGGCAGCAGCAGCTGCTGGTGTGGCATGGGAGGATGGCGTTTCTAAAGCGTGCGGCTGTGCTGCAGGGCCTCCTGGCCGTGGGCTGGCTGTGGAGTAACAAATAAATAAATGGCAGAGTCTCAGAGGCTGTGTTACACTCGTGTCGGCAACAGCCGAGCCAAGCGGGCACAGGCCTGACCCCTCCCCAGGCGTTGCCAGTACGTGTGAGCACATGGAAGCCACGCCTGGAGCGCCGGGTACCTGATCTCCTTTTGCATGTTACCCGTAGACAGGCGACATTCTCCCAGGAGAAAGCAGGAGAGCCTACGTCTAGCCGTTGTGTGATTGCAAATACAGCTAATGTTCACATTTTATTACTTATTATTGCCGTAAAAGATGCATTGCCATGATTCCCTTTCAAAATACACCCCCAACACACCCTCTGGGCTCAATCATCCTTTCAGTCTTCCCACTTTCTGCAGCAATTCTGGAAGGCCTTTAAATATTTTTAGTTACATTGTACTGCCTGCCTCAATATCCTGAATCAACTCAAAATGTTTGCCTTTCCTGGTCATTTTGACTTTGAGTAAGCACCACAAGTCACATGGTACAAGATCTGGCGAATAAGGTGGATGATAGGATGAGTTTGTTCAAGGTGACAGGGGATGATTTTGAGGGAGAGGAATGGCAATGTGTCTTTTACTGTAATAAGTTTTTTAAAAATTAAATACTCACCATATGTTTTGGTAGCACCTTGTCTCTGCCTGGTTGACAGAACCAGGCAAATGCCAAGGTCAGGACTATCTTGCATGTGATTGCCCAAGGTCTAGGTGATACCATGCACAGGGCCCTGGGAACTTAGCAGGACTGTTCCAGAAGCCAGTGCTTTTATCTTCCTCTTCCTCTTCTTTTTTTTTGGGACAGTGTCTCATTGTGTAGTTCAGGATGGCCTCTAACTTGCAGTGATCCTCCTGCCTCAGCCTCCTTACTGCTGGGATTACAGGCATGCACCAACATACCCAGACGCAAGTTGCTCTTCCTGTAGCTGACAGCTGGCACCCTGTCCTGTCCGCAGTGCAGGGAGAGAGGCGATCCTTGCTTGGGAAGTCCCTCCAGAACCAGTGCTGTTCTCTTCCAGTATCACTGGGGGACGTCGCCACCACAGCTGTTCTTTCCAAATGTCCCACTCTGCGGGAATCATGTTCTCAACCACAGGACCACCTGGAGTCTAGCAGAGCCCCTGCCACAGTACTGTAGACGTCGGGTGAATCAGTGCCTGAGAGGATGAATGGATGAAGCATCGGCTTTGATTAGGGCCAGTGGCTGAAACACAGGCAGTAACTGAGTGCTTGCAGGCTGTAGATTAAAGGAAAGATGGTTCTTAAACATCCCCAACACACACACACACACACACACACACACACACACGGAGGCTCACCGTTTTCTCCACCAGACTTTCCTTCTGCAAAATAACCTTCCCTGACTTCCCCAAAAGGTTACCCTCTGAGTAACACATGTTTGTTGATTCACTCTACCAGTGTTCATTGAGTACCTACTATGCCTGAGCCTTTTTTGTAAGTGCCAGAAATTCAACTAATGAAGAAAAATAACAGAGAAGTTTAGGTTCTTGGGGGGGGGCAGATAAGAATACAATAGAAGAAAATCAAGAAAAAGGAGCTAGGGAATATAGTGTGTGTGAGTGTGTGTGTGCACGCATGTGTGTATGTGTGTGCACGCGTGTGTGTGTACAGGGGGAGAGAACAGCTTCTAACAGGGAAGACAGGAAAGACTGACCCAGAAGGTAGTATTTGAGTGAAGAATTGGGGTCACAGAGTGAACTATGCTGACATCTGGGGGAAAGAATTCACTCAGCGGGAATAGTTTGTGCAAAGGCCCTGGGGTGGGAGCATTGGCATCAGGTTCTAGAGCAGGGAGAAGGCTGTGTCACTGGAAGTAGGCAGAGACCAGCAGCAGTTGAGGCCAGAGAGCTGGCTGTGGAGGCTGAGGCAGGTCAGTGAGGGTCTGAGAGAACTTTGTTTTGAGTTGGATGGAAGCATTTCTTCAGGATTTTGAACAAAGAAATAATAAAATTGGACTTGAAAGGTAACAGATTACTCTTGAGGGCCATTTGAATAACCCAGCTGATAGCAGTTTGCTCCAGGCTGTCATAGTGGAGGCTGAGGAAGGGGACAGATTTTGGCCCTTTAGGGGGCACCGCAGGAGGAGTTGGGTTTAACATGTGAGAGAAGGACTAGAGGCCAGGAGCCCAAGGCTGTGACCTTGAGTGATGGCAGGAGAAAGACAGCTGAGCCTCGAACTGGGTGCTGGAGGCTGGATGCCTCCCTGCTATGCCCAGAGGCCAGACATCCCCTCCGGGACCTGCTGACCCTGGCCAGCTAAGCAGGCTTTTCCTTAGGTCTCAGAGCAGGTGGAGGCCCAGCTCCACTCCTCTCTCTGAAGCCCGGGGCCCCCATCTAGGGTGGGGTGCTTCTGGGTTTCCGTGACTCATTCTCCGTCTCTCACCTCTGCTGCACACATCCACCCCCAGATCGCACTCCCTGCCCCTGCACACTGCTCTCCCCTCCCCTGGCTCACACCGGAGCTGAACAAGGCTGCCCTTGGCTAAGTGGCAGAGCACCCATCGGTGGGGTAACCAGGGCTGCCTCCCATTGCCACAGCCGCCGAGGTCTCCTGGGAGGCCCTCTCTGTTCAGCCCACTCCTGGGAGCTCTGGGGACAAGGCTGGCCCCGACTGTAGCCAGGAAGTGAGGGCAGAGTATTGTTACCTGTGGAGGAAGCCACAGCAGCAGGGGAAGCAGGAGACGGAGATACTGAGGCAAAGAACCGCGGGTGAGGGAAAGGTGGGTGTGTGGGCATCAGAAGAGCCAGAGTCTTCGCGGGGAAAAGCAGAGGAATCGGAGGCTGAGAGTGTTTCCATGGCAGATTCAGGTGAGGGGACAAGGCCTCTATCCAAGTGGATGGATGGATGGATGGATGGATGGATGGATGGATGGATGGAGAAGGGCTGGTGTCACCAGCTGTCCTTGCTCTCTGCTCTTTGTCTGTCTTTGGATCACACGATTCCAGGGATGGAATTGTCTTTGTTTTCAGGCTGAGATAGAGAACCAGTTTACTAGGCTAGTCTTGAGTGCCTCAGCTAGCATTAGAAAGGTGCTGTTTCCTGGCCTCGCATGCTCAGTTTATGACCATCGAAGGGGAACCTCAGTGCTGTTCCTCTGTGTGGCAGCCACAGTGTGACAGAGGGGGAAAAGGGCTTTTGCTGAGATTTGGGAGATCAGAGGCCAGAGCTGGCCCTGCACTAGCTCACCATGCGGTGCATGTCAAGACTTCACTTCCTATTCCTAGTCAGCAGCCTGCACAGTGGGGAACTGGATCAGAGGTCTTCAGTGTCTCTTCTTATCTGAGATTTGTGATTCCCTCCTGTGAACAACCCACGGCACACAGTGGGAAGCGGCAATCCTTGGTTCTTGCCTAGGAGATTCATGTTGGTTCAGTCCTTGTTAAGCGTCTGTTCTCTGTGGCAGGAAGTTATGATAACCAGGTGACTTTAGCTGCTGTTACTATTAGCTACTGGATTCTTCCAGGTATCCAGGCAGATCTGGCAGGTTTGTGGATTATGAGTGACATGCAGTTTCTTTTTCTTTTTTCTTTCTTTCTTTTTTTTTTTGTCTTTTTCCTTTTTATCGGTACCAGGGATCAAACTAATGACTGCCTGCTTTCAAGGCAGGCGCTTATGCCGCTGAGCTAAATCCCCAGCCCCAACATGCGGTTTCTATGGTGATTGAGGGTAGAGTGCTTACTGGCTAGCAGTGAGCCAGGGAGGGGTTCACCATTATTATTACTATTCACATTGTACAGTGGGCTGGTTAGCTTCACTCTCACAGGGCTGCCTGGTCAAGTCAATAGCTCTGATTGAACCTGGAACCTGGAGTCTTCGGATTAAAGTTTCCTTTTCTCTTGGCTCCCTTTCAGAATGTACAGCCTACCACAATGATCAGGACAGAGTGGAGGAGATCAGGATGAAGTGGCCCTCAGGACACAGGGTGGTCAGGCTGTGGCAAGTGCTTGCTATCAGACTCCATGCACATGGGGAAGGCAGTGAGCATGCTGGTAGCTTCCTCTTAGGTGAGCCACAGAGCTAATTTTAGCAGTGGCTAAGGAGTCAGAGGGTTTAGAGCAGGGTTCCCCAGCTCCTATGGCATGGATCAGTCCTGGGAGTCTGGAATCAGGCAGCACAGCAGAAGATGAACAGGGTTTCTGTTTAAAGCTCTCCCCTTCACTGTGTTACTGCCCAAGCTCCGCCTCCTGGCAGGTCAGCAGCGGCATTAGGTTCTCATAGGAGCAGAGTCCTACTGTAACTGTGCATAGGAGGGAGCTAGGCTTTGAGCTTCTTTGAATCCTCCAGAGACACCAGCTGCATGGAAAAATTGTCTTTCATTAAAGTTAACCTTGCTGTCAAAAAGCCTGTGGACCAGCAGTGGTTTAGAGCATTGCAGAGATAAGCAATCAGTTGTCAACCTGCACACCACACCTTGTAACAGAGGACAGCAAACCCCAGAGAGTAGCAGTGACTTCTTACAGTGTGGTGGTGGCTGGGAGACCCGCTGGGCAGGGCATTAGCATTATCCTGTTTTCTCCATTGGGAGAGCAGGGGCAATCATCTCTGTGGCTTCCCTGGGCCAAGTGTGATGGACAAAGCCAAACAGTCTCCTGTAGAAATTGAATGCATTACCCAAGTGATGTGTGTGAGAATCTCTAGGATGCACACATCAGAGCTTTGGCCTATCCTGTCCTTCAGGTCCCTTCCTATCTTGTTCGAGATCAGAGCCATTCTCAACTCCTGATAACGCACTAGATTTCTGACAACCACTAGAGGGAGCCACCAGCACTCTAATTCTTCAGAACAGCCCTTGGGTGAGTTCTGGGCATCCTGGAAGGACCACGGGCAAATCTCTGCAGTGCAAACCTTCTGCACTGCCCTGTCTCTGGGCTGTGTTGTTGCCTTTCCTGCCAGAGAGGCATGGTGGCTGCTTAGTGACAGATGGGACATCTCAGAGTGTCATGCGCAATAGGAAAAACAGCTCTTCTGAGATCTGTGCAGGTGTGGGGGTAGCCAAGACTTT